AATACCCCAACCCAAAGAAAAAATAAAAAAATAAAAAATCTAAACTACCCTCTCTTACTTTTTTACCCATGCCTCTCTCTCTCCATGAAAAGGCGGTCCGGCATATTCTTAGAGCGGTCCGACGGTGTAATGTCGGCTAGTAAATAACAGTGGCGATCCGACAATACAAGTGGCAGTCCGGCACAGACAAAGAACGATCTGGTAATAGGTACATGCGGTCTGACACTGCTAAAGAGCTGTCTGACCGATCCGGCACTTTTTTTAATTTAACGGGTCGGGTAATGTTAAAGAGCGGTCCGGCAGCCCACGTGAATATCCGCCCAAAATTACATTTTTATGGATCAAAAAGGATATTTTGGTCAAAAAATGTACCTTTTCTACTTGGGGGGTATTTGTTAGAAAGTACACTTTGGGGGAGAAAGTGAGAAAAAAAGGTTTAGTTAGTGTACCTGGCATAACAAGTCTAATCTTAGGGGTTATTTATAACTTTTTCAGTTTTTAAGCTCAAATTTTAGGGATTTATGTTCTAGGTTAAGATGATCATGAACATGAAAAAGTAATTATATTTAAAATTTGATTTAAAAAAAAAGCATTAGTACACAGTTTACATCGTCCGTCTTAAATATTGACATGGGTGAGTCAGCGGGATCTTGCACCCGCGGACTCATGAAGGACTTTTACATTAACTACATGGACTTGAAATGGTAGAAAAGTCCATTACAACCTAGTCATCATATTTAATTGTGTTTACATAATTTGCAGAAAACATGAATCATCTACTTGAGATCCATACACAGAGCAGAACCATGGATAATTCAACGAATATGTACCAGAGAACGCCATGAATGATCTATAGAATGGCAATTCCTGAGATATGATAAGGCGATGGATCATCCCTCCAAGGCACAAAGCGATAAGCCTTTCTCAATAAACATATAGCAATGAATGAAACATAGTCTCAGCAGAGCATATCAAACAACATACTTTGTGCACAGAATGACTGAACCATGGGGTTGGAGAAATTCAAACTGATGAATAAATATATGGCAAAGAGGGATCTGATATGGAAGAATGATCACCGTTATCATGATTCTTGGTATCATTCGGGGAGAGACACGTGAAGCAATTATCAAAAGCTTCACAATGTGTGTGTGTGAGAGAGTTTGATATATTTGGAGATTTTGAGTGTGGTATAAATCAAATCGTAAAACTAGAAGCATTCTCTCTCTCAATCACAGTCCATCATTTGGTTGTTGAGGATGAGACCCATGAGTCATTAAAACAAATTTCCCCAATCAGAGTTTTATTTACCATGTTGGCTGCAAATGTTAATCTCATTTAAAACAAATGAATTCTTGCCACACCCATACTAAAAGGGAACAAAATGATAATCAACAACCTTATTTCCATTACCAAACTACAATTTAAACAAAAATAGTTAGAATCTCTGGAGAATAGGCCAAAATTGAAACCAACAAATATAACATTGACAAATCCAATCTAACAGTACCCTTCATGTTACTGCAAAAGGCAAATAAAAACGATCAATTCGAACATCAGCAAATATAGGTTGTGTCAAACAAAAAAGATCAATTCGAAGATCAGCAAGTATAGGATCCCACTCCCATAATTATAAACGGTTAGATTTACACCATCAAAAACTTCTCTAGTTCAAACTAGAGATCAGAATATATTAATGCATGAGAAGCATTTAAGCACTCAAACCCAAACTTCATCTCTTTCTTTTTTTGTTCTTGATCCGATTCACTAAATGGTGAATTATTTCTTCCAGGTTGGCATTCTTTATAACTGGATATCTTCCACTTCGATACCAACACCTATGTATACAAAATTACAAAACATCAAACACAATAGAGGTATGTAAACTTATTCTAAGATAACGTTTTGACATATATACAACAGAACCAAGGTACACCCATCCCTTTATGGGTCGTTTGGGAACTTGTATACATAAATCCTAGGTTTTTTTTAATACTTGGTTTTGTTGATTCTAGTATACATAAAAGCTGGGTTTGAGCACAACGTTGTTCGCCTGGCTGTTGGAAGAACCCAGTATATATAAAGGGTGCGGTTTCTATAAGGATGCAACCTTAAACAATCCAATTAAGGCGCACCTTAAAATTTTATCATAACATGTAATTTTGTTATAGAATATTCTTTGTATTATCTTAAAATCTATTTTCATACCTAGTTAGAAATTTTTAAATTCCAGAAATGGTTAAAATGAAGTAGATCTATAAATATATGAAAATCTTGAAAATGGACGATCTAGATAATGTATTGCAAGATGCACTATTTCCGAGACTCGATAACTTTTTTTTTTTCATATTCATACATCTCAATGTCGAGATGATCAATTAGAGGGTTTATTCAATATTAAAACAACATTTCCAATAGATTTTTGAGGTGCATCTGTGATTCTACATTTAAGGTTGCAACCTTATATAAACTTTTCCCATATATAAAAGCTGGCATTTTACCCCATTTGTCACCATGAAGATGAAAACCAAGTTTTGATTGTTTGCTGTTAATGCTGTTTAGCCATTGATTATATAAGTTGATGATTCCGTACTGATACATGGCCAACTAAAAATATTTTTTGGGAATGAGTTATCAATAATATAAGATAAATTAGATGTTTCGGATCATATTTCTCGGTATTTTTATAAGTTAAATTATGATGCTTTCTCTCATTCTCACTCTCTCTCTCTCTCTCCATACACGACCTATATTATATCATATCCGTAACACTCCATCTCATTAGATAATAATAAAATTTACAAAGTTAGAAAATGAAAAGTTAAATACAAATTCCAGAAGGTGAAATGAAAAAGAAAAATGATTCAGCCATCAGATTTCATTTGAGATGCATTTAACTGTGATTAGTGGTAAATCAGAAAGAGGGAACATGCATGTAGCAACATGGGTTTCCTTCCTATGTAGGAATCAATGTTAATGAATATCAGAAGAGAGTTGGGGGTTACCCGGTGAGCCAATTGCAAATGATATTACACATCTTCCAAAACGAAACAAATGTTTCTCTCGCTACGTTCTCTGTGCTCATGAACATGAAACCATAAAAACCCGTTAAATTTCATTGAATATTGTCAGGTTCTATACAATAAATGAGAAATAATGTACATGTACATCATGAGGTTATGATGACAATTGATTCAGTTTCTCTCTGCTTTCATCTTTTCTTCTTAGATCTATCAAGACTAGAGTTTTCTTCCCCAGAACATGAGTTTTTTGGGAAGATTCTATTTCTTCTATCTTAACCTCCAAAACCTGAAGAAAACATTTCTTCAACTCTTCCTCTAACTCCTCCAAAACCTTACATCTCTCCAACTCTTACTCTTCCTCTGTCTCATGAAACTCTTCCTCTTAACTCCTCCAAAACCTTACATTTCTCCAACTCTTCCTCTTCCTCTGCCTCATGAGACTTTTGTTGCTTTCCTCATGAGACTTTTGTTGCTTTCTTGAGGCAAGAGCTTTTTTCTTTGTGCCTAGCAATTCCTTTAGAAAAAAAACAACAATATGATGAGTATACATTTGGGTAAAAAAGAATCAACACGAGCATTAATGTAAAAACGACAATAAAAGGAGCAGAGTTAACTGTCATAGTAGCAGAGCTAGAAATTTGAATAGAAAAATGCTACAGAAAATCAACATAATTTGCTTTCATTTTGTACCAATTTGAGTCTTCATTTTGCTGCAAAATTTATGTACAACAGTCTCAAATGATTATACAGTTCGTCACTCTATGAACCTCTAACTAGCTTTTTATGGCTATTGAAAATAGACCAATACAAAGAGAAACACTTTCCTAGCTTTTCAGGAGGCAGAGATAACCAACAAATACAGAGAGAAACACTTTCCTGATTTTTCGAGAGCCAGAGATAACCAAAGATAACCAACAAATATACAGAGAAACACTTTCCTGGTTTTTCAAGAGCCAGAGATAACCAACAAATCAGCAGTTATTGTATACCAATATTGCATGGCTAGAGGGAGGATGATTAGACAAGAGCTAACCATTGAGAGCAACATCTGTTCTAGGACTTGTTCAGTGTGGACTATGCAGTCCGATAACAATTAATTTCTCTCAACCTTATACAAGAAATTTCCCATCAGTGATGTAAATTAATGTGTATCTAATTCTCCAAGCAAATTTATCATTGAGATACATAGAAACAAATAATCAAGCACCTATATGGCCTGTATAATGGCACAATAATACACAACTTCAGCAGTTTCTATTAAAAGCACCAGGTTGAAAGGATGACAATATTTATCTGACGTACTTTATCATCGACATTGCTTTATAAATCAAAGTAACAAAGTAGCCTATAACTTACAAATATACGAAAGATTTCCCAGAACAAAATAAGCTTTCTAAAAACTGTTATTAGTTCCCTTTCAGGGAGCCATAATTGGAAACTACAATGAATATGAAGCAACCCAACAAGAATAATAAATATTAGAGACTACTAATGTAAGCCATCACTAACTAAAAACTGTTAAAAGGAGGCTAGTTTCGTACTCTTTTTAGAGTCACTAATTATAAATTACTTAGGTGGCGTTTGGAAATTTATTACATTACAATAAATTACTATTATATTTACATTGTTTGGGTACACTTTAGTAATAAGGAAATGGAAAGACATTGGTTGTATTGTATAATTATTAAGTGAAAGTAGGGGATATGAAAAAGGGAATCTAAATTGATTTGAACAGGTGTAAGATGACAATTTTCTAATGCAATCATAATAAAAAAAATTTATATCCCTTTATTCTCAATTTGGGTTATCCCCCTCATCTCACTCTCATATAAAAATAATTTTTTTTAATAATTAGTAAGTGAAAGTAGTGGGAAATCTAAATTGATTTGAACCGTTGTAGAACTTGATCAAGGATTAGAAATTTTTCTTAATAATTGGTAAGTGAAAGTAAGAGGAAATCTAAATTGATTTGAACACTTGTAGAACTTGATGAAAGACAAATTTATAAAATTAAAGATATTGATTTTACAATTGTTTAAATATTCAAATAATATTTTAAAATCTTTTTATTAATTTTAAATATATAAAAATATCATGGGGCCCATTGTGCACATGGGCCAGCCATATTTTAGAAGATGGGCCCATGAGTGCCTCCTTTGGGTGGCACACCCCACCTTTATTCTCTTTCCTATTTTTTTTGGTGATATGGCATGTGGCTATATGGTTGGAAGATATTGACTAAATATTGACTTGATATCTTTGAAAGATTTTGTGGAAAGATTTTGTAGAGTTGTGTTATTTGATGTATGCGTAATATTTTGATTAGATTTAATTCTATTGATGAGAAAATGGTTTAGGAAAGGGGGATAATGATTCATGCACCTTCCATAATGTTGATGACCTATCAAGTCACCATTGATCGACTGTCTATGTTCAATCTCACAAGAAGAAGCAAGCAAAAAAAACCCTAAGAAACCCTAATTTTATTCAAAGCCTATACGAAGGGAGTGTCTCTACCAAAAAAAATCTCTACGCTTTATATTTCTATCTCTCTATTAAGAAAGTTTATCTCTCTCATGTTTGATCTCTCTCCCACATTGTGAAAGAACCCAAGGGTTTAGGTTATAAAGTTCTTCTCTCCTATCTCTCAAATATGGATTTATGGCTAAGGGTTTTAGGGTTTAGCAAAAAGAAAATCCATCTCTTTCAAACTAGATTGCTACGAGAATTCACCTAGGGTTTGAGTTTGTGATCAAAGGGGTTCATGTTCCATTGGTGTGGTTTGGCCGAAATTTGCTTTTCAAGTTCGAGATTAAAGCCAGATCGCTGATCTCGCCTCATCGGATGGTGGTGACTCTATGTGGGGTGTACTAAGCCTGGTTGAGGTAACATTCGGCACTCTTCCTTTTGTTTCTTGCAATCTTATCTTTTATTCTCAAGCATAGGGCATAGTTGTTTCAATGGCATCAAGTTGTTAAGATCTTGGTTTTATTGTTATACTGATTTTATTTTAAAATTTATCTTATTATAATAAAGACCACATGTAAGAGATTGTTT